AAGGATCGCTCTGCTTCTTCTTCGTCTAGAGTTTCTCGTCCGTGGAAGGGTCGGTAGAGGTAAGGAGTAAGCATCTGGTTGTTGGTTCTCTGCCAGCTTCAGGAGGAAGCAAAAGGAGATAGGTTATCTACCTTGCCGGGGTGGCAAAAAGGAGGTTCTTGTGAAGGCTTCTCCGCCTAGCCGTGGGGGCTAAAGGAGAGTCACGTTTTGTAGTGCAATACTTGGAGGGTGCCTCCAAAGAGTGGATGTAGGTCAAGTTAACCGAACCACTATAAATCTCTGTGTTCTTGTTTTCTTGCTTCCGCACTTTTATTTTCGCATTATTTTTCTCGTGGCGTGATTTTGGTTTATGTGTTTTTGTTCTTTGTGAAAAGAAATTTTTTAAAATACCAATTCACCCCCCCCTCTCCTGGTTAGCTTGGGACTAAGTTCATATGGCTCAACATCCCTAACGAACTTTCAGTAGCAGCCTCATTTTCGCTGACACGACCCGGCAAATATTGAGTTCATGGCACGTGCGAATTTTGAATTTGATGTGTCTTCGAGTGTAGCCCTAAAAATCCCGGCTGACCCAAAATTTTGGTTTAATTTTGAAATATAGATCACCGTTTTTCACTCCAGTTATCATTTGTTTGCATCGATACGATACGAAGCTTTGTTTCTGGCAACCATTCATCTTCTTCCAACTTCCAAGCTCGCTGTATTTGCATTGCATCTACTTCGGAGAAGAAACAAGATTTTGCGAAGAAATAAACCTTTGAGAAGAAACAATGCCTCAGGTTAGTTAATTTATTGCTAAAAAATGCCTCATTTTCATCTTTGCTAATGTTTAGGGTTAGGGTTTACGCTTGGTACTGCTCGGTATTGGAGATTAATGTTCTATACCGAGCGATATTGGCAGTTTTACACTTGGTACTGCTTGGTATTGGAGATTAATGTTCGATGTAAGCTTAGATAAGAACAAAAATACCGACTTAGATAATTTCGAACACTCGATACTACTCTGTACCGAGCGATATTGTCAGTTTTACACACTCGGTATTGCTCAGCGTAAGCTTAGATAAGAATGAAAAACTTTTTATTGAGTGAATACCAAGTTAAATAATTTCAAACACTCGGTACAGCTCTGTACCGAGCGATTTTGGCACTTATACAAACTCGGTACAGCTCGGTATTGGCGATTACTAGTCGGTATAAGCTTATATAAATTGAGCTTACATTGTATTGATTGAATACCAAGTTAAATTATTTAAAGCAGTCGGTACTGCTGTGTAGCGAGCGATATTGCCAGTTATCCCCGCTCGGTACAGCTCAGTATTGGCAAGAAATGGTCGGTATAAGGTTATGTAAAAAATAATAAACATTTTATTGATTCAATTCCGAGTTAAATCATTTCAAACACTCGGTACGGTCTGTGTACTGAGCGATATTATTGGCTAAAAATACTCGGTATTGCTCGGTATTACTCGGATTTATGAATAAAAATGCGGGATAATTTAGCTTTACGGGTAGAAATCATGTCATAATTTAAAATTCTATTTCGATTGTCTTTAATTCTCGGTATCCGTTATGCATGGATATACTCCAAAGATTCATTTCAGATGCAAAACTTTGACTTTTAGAGAAGTTTGTAATCAACTAGTTCGGAGAGTTGGAGAACCATTTGTTGAAAGGCTATGGCAGTTGCGCATTAGCCAGTTCCTAAGGCTTCCTCTTATACCGCAGAATGCTCCACTTCTGTACATGCTGCTAACGAAATGGGATGTGAAGACGGAAAGTTTTATAATTGAAGGGCATAGGCTAGAATTCACCTCTGATGAGGTTGCCTTACTCATAGGCATGCCGAGCAGAGGTAATATAGTTGATGTGGGCAGTGCTAGATCCTCTGGCAAAACATCTAATGATATTCGCCATGACGTTGAGAGAATAGATAATGCAACCCCAATGGAAGATATAATGAAAGGATTCATCCTTTACCTATTATCCAACATTTTTTATCCAATGGAGAACTTCCGGACACCATCATCTATCCTGGAAGTGGTAAAAAATATTGATAGTTTCAATACATATAACTGGCCAGAATTGATTAGGGGATTCCTAGTTAATGAATTTAACATTGTAGCAACCAAACAATCAAAAGGAAGCGCATTGGGTTACGTAATTGGTTTTGTCATGATTGTAATTGTGAGTATTGTTAATTTGTTGAACTAGTCATTGCTTAATTTCCAATTTCTATAACAAAATTTTATTGTCTTATTTTTGGCAGATCTGGTTTCTTGAACAGACAACCATTCATGTTGTAGAGGATGAACAATCCCGCCCACATTTTACTCGGTGGGATGGCAATTTTATGTACACTGAGAAAGATGTAAATAATATATTTGAAGAACTTGAGGATCATGAGGTAGCCTCACTACATGTTTTCATTTAAATTTATGCCAAAATTATATGTTATATTCTGTAGATAAAATTTATTATTTTTTACAGATTCTCAGTCATTTAAGAGAAATAACAGATGATGAGAAGGCTTTATTTCACAGCCTTTCAAAGATTTCATCTCCCCCTACTCCACCCAGTCCAGTCTTGGTACCAAGTCCAGCCAGGGTACCAAGTCCAATTAGAGTGGCAAGCCCACCTAAACAACAATCATCATCACATACTCCGGCTAGTTCAATTAGGGAATCTTGTCTGGTCAAGGAGTCAAGCCCACCGAAACATGATTCCTCTCCAACCATACCTGCTAGTCCAGTAAGGGTGGCCACCCCAAAAAGTACTGAGTCATCTGCACATACCCCTCCGGAATCAAGTCCAATAACAGAGGAAACAAACCTCAAGATTTTAAATTAAGCTATTTACAAGCTTTTTACCAAGGAGAATTTCATGAAAAAGAAGATAGCTTCGGTGGAAGCAACTAATAATTTGCTTGAAAAGCGTGTGGTGGTGTTGGAGGATACTATTTTCAATTTAAAAGAGGAGATTTTTTATTTGAAGGAGGAGATAAAAAGGAAAGACAGTTTTATATTGCAATTCTTAAAAGATCAATTTCCTTCTCATTTCAAATCTTACAAAAATGAAATGTCTGCTGAAACTTCTTCCTCTGCTACTAAGTTAGAAGAAATTGTCTATAAGGATGCTGGTGTGAGTGAGGATGAGGAATTTGATGCAGCCTTACATACCGGCATAGAAAGAAGAGTACAGCTAAGGAATGATAGAAAGAGGAAAGTTGTATCCACCCCATTTACAACTGGTGTTAGGAAGAAAAAAACTAAACAAGAAAAATCAAATAAAGAGAAGTTCAGTGAGTCCATACCGACTGATATTCCTGCCCAATCCCCTGAACTTACTCGAGCTCCTACACCAACTCCTCCAACTGAACTTGGTCCTGCACCAACTCCTCCAACTGAACTTGGTCATGCACCAGCTCCTCCAACAGAAGTTGCTTCGGCACCACCACTTCCAACTGAAGTTGCTTCCGCACCACCTCTTCCTCTAGCTTCTATGGATGAATCTACAACGGTTCATAAAAAAGCTATAATAATTTATGAAGTTGATGAGACAAAAGACATTCAATTGTGTCCTGCACTTGAACAATTGGATTACCAAGGACGATCATTAATAAGTGAAGCTAAATGCCTATTCATCGATAATTGCCTCAAACAATTCAATGATAAGTTAGTATTGCACGTATACCGATCAAAACCTAGTCATACCGAGTTATATTGTTATTTATACCGAGTAGTACCGAGCTATACTGAGCTATAATAATCGGTTATACTTGGTATAAAATCATTACTATCATGTATAATACGTACACTATTTTTATAATACATTATACCGAATTGTACCGAGCTATACCGAGCTTGAATGATTGTATCTACTCGGTATTCTGTTATATGAACTCGGCATAAAATCATTACTATGATGTATACTACGTATACTATTTTTATAATACATTATATCGTGTTGTACCGAGCTATACCAAGCTTTAATGATCGTATCTACTCGGTATTCTGTTATATGTACTCGGTATAAAATTACTACTACGATGTATACTACGTACACTATTTTTATAATACATTATAGCGTGTTGTACCGAGCTATACCGAGCTTTAATGATCGTAGCTACTCGGTATTTTGTTATATGTACTCGGTATACAATCACAACTAAGATGTATAGTTTGTATATTGTTTTTATAATACATTATACTTAGTTGTACCGAGCTATACCGAGCTTTAATAACATGTTTTATTTTTGTTATTTTTTTAAATTTATGTTTATTCGAATTATGCAGGGGTGATACTATCTTCGAGTATGAAAATATAACTATTTATAGGAGCCAATTGGACGAGTTATTAATGTCCGAAGAGCTTGATAATAACCATGTGGATGCATTTGCTCTTCTACTAAGCTAGAAGAATGCCCTTCTTCATGGGCTTAATCAACCATTTGTATATGTATAAAGTTTCCATTGGGTTAGTAAGCTTTATTTAATTATTGCGTTTGCTTATTTTACTTTTTTATTTTAATAACCTAGCCATACTATTTTCTGTGTTCCAGGGTTACTACGCACAATCCAAAGAGACGATAACAACTAGCTTCGTCTCTCATATAAACAGGAACCTTATTAGGAATGTAAATTTGGTATTTGTTCCTATAATAAATGAAGAACGTTGGACACTTCTCGTATACAATTTGAGAAAGAAACGTTGGGAGTTTTATGATTCTTTACCGAAAAAATACATAAAGCCGTGCTCCCAAAAGTTGTAAGTAATACCCACCTTTACTTTTCCCACCCAATTCTATTACAACGCGACAGAAATATTTTAAAATACTGAAAAAGAAAATGGGTTTCCATCGGGTCATTCAGGGTAATTGGGCTGCTACGTGGCGCCTTCTTAATGCATACCGAACGTAGAGTTGCGTCAGGCGGGAGGAACAAATAAAAATTCCTAGGAAAGGGGTCGTCTTCTTCTAGGGTTTGGGTTATTATAGTTCAATTAAAACCTATATTTTAAAAATCAAACCATAGTGATTGGTCTGACCAATTCAACCATGAACCGATCACAAGGTCGGTACGGTCCACTTAAAAAATTATTTTTGCTTCAAATCGAAAAGAATCGGCCAAAACTGTCGGTTCAATTGTTGAATCGTTCCCATTTTCCAGCCGATTTAATTAATGCATTATTTAAATAATTAAATAAACAAATTTATTCTATTACATATTAAATATTATTCATAAATAAATAAATAAATTTATATTTAAAATATTTAATTTTAAATTAGGATGAAATTTATTATAAATATTTGCCCCAAAACACTACAAAGAATCTTCACAAGTCCCCACCACTCCATGTGAGTTCTTAACACATATAAACCCAAAAAGCTAGGGCTGTTTGGTTGCCTGAATTAGGAGTGTAAAGTAAAACAATTATCTGTATTTATCATAATGAGCGGGTTATAAATTCATCGAGAAGGAAGAAAAACTTCATCGTCCGCGTGTTGTTCGGCTTCATTGCACGATAGGCTTCTTCGGCTCCTTCGTTCTTGTTCGACTTCGCTCCGGCAAGCAGCTTCGGAGAGAGTTCGCTCCGGCGAGCATCTCCACTCCGTCGCCCTCAAGTCCGACCTTGTCAGCTCCACTCCGTCGTTGTGCTGTTCGGCTTCATTGCACGAGAAGGTTCTTCAGAGAAGCTCTGTTTAGCTCCACTC